GGTGCCGGGTTCACACACCATGTAGAGTCCCCAGAGGCCTGTGTCTGTGTAGCAGGTGTTGAAGGACTGGAAGCTATGGCACAGGTTCCCCTGACAGGCCATCTGAGCCAGCTTACTGGATAGATTCTAACCTCAGAGGACATGAAAACAAACGGTATGTGTGGTCAGTTTTTATTTAAAGATGGCGAAGAAGAGGAAGAGCATTTAGCAGCAGCACAGAGAAAACAACACGTGCCACATCCAAGGTTTCCTCAGTACTCACCACGCCCCCACCAAACGAGCGGTCCCAGTTTCCAATGAGCGTGTTGGCGACCATGAGTGGGATTGTGTCGGGGTGAGACCATCCGACGGCCTCCACGGCGATGGCGATGTGAGCGAGCGGCATTTTGTCGTCACGCACTCGGATCTGAAACCGTAACAGAGTCCTGAAGCATTCACCAAATTAAAGCTTTTTTAATAACTTGAAGTGAAACTCTGCACCAGTTTCACAGTCAACGAATGATGGAAAGCACACAAATACTTAACTGGGGTCTACTGGAAGCATCTACAGTTGTCAGTGCTGTGATACAGGCCGGCAGGAGTTAGTGGGGAACTGTCAACGCTTTTGTTTTGAAGGCAGAGCTGGGTTAAAGAGCAAATCTAATCTGTGAGACGAGCAGCAGACGACAGGATGCACAGGTGTACATAGAAACTGAATTCATGACTGTTTTTACACGTCTTTTAAACCACTTTAAATACTTGAGAGCAAACTTGTTCTGGTTACTCCTCTAAACAATATCTCACCGTCTCCCGAGCATGTCCAGCTGCAGTATAATCGTTCATTTCAGGGAATATCCGACACATCTATCGCCTTCTTCATCTAAAAGGTTTCCATTAATGAAAGCCTGATGCCGTGTGAACTAGAAAGCACAGCCTGCATGAACCTGCATGATGCAGTCAGCTGGATGATCCAAGTCCGACTGAAGATCTAAACCGTGTGCAGAGGCTTTCCCTTACCGATCTTACCGTGATTTGTTTTGATTCCTGGAGAGGTTGTGGTTTGTATGTGGCTCAGAATCTTGTATTGCCTGAGCTAAGTTCTGTTCTGGTTCTTGTTCTTTTTGTCATTGTCTGTTACTATGAAAAAAATCCTAATAAAAATATATTAAAAAAAATATATGTGCAGAAAACTCACGTGCCATCTGACTAGAGTCATATTCACTTGTAGACCCACCTGAACTGGATTTAAGGCATCTTAAGTAATATGTGTGTTTTAAACATTTTCCAAGGCGTGGACAGGTCTGAGCATCACCCTTCATTTGCATCCACCTTAGAGACAACCGTGTTACTCTGATACACTCGATCTCATTCTTTAAATAACACAGTAGCTGCTCTGTGCTGATGTGACGCCTCGTTATGCAGTAGTGAGAAACTAAAGTTAGCCTTACCTCACTTCCTGTGAAATGGCACGGAGGAAGAGCCGGGGCTTCGCCTTGATGTCTGCTGGGAAGTTTTCCAAAGTGATACTTGGCCAAATCGATGAGCTCGTCATGACAGACACCTGATCAGAGAGGGAGCGAGTCCTGGAGATCAGATCAGCTTTACTCTGGTTCAGGATTTATTGCATACTTTGAGCAGTGCTCACGCATCAGAGAGTGTTTGTTGCAGGTTTATAGAAAATGTTAACGAAACGTGAGCAGGAAACAGCTCTAACCTCCAGCAGCAGCCAACACTATTCGGGGTCCTTTATAGTGAGCGGTGATATACTCCACCAGGTCTCCTCTGTTGATGGTCCTGCGTCACAAACACACAGCAGGAAGCTGAGCTGTGCAGGATGCTTTCAGCAAACCTCAGAGTACTTTGTGATTTAGGTGTTTGGTCTCACTTGATGTTCTCAGTGGGGCCCAGGATGGTTCTTCCCAGCGCTGTGGACTGGTACGCTGTAGCATGCAGATAATCAAAGACCACCTCTTGCAGATTGGTCTCCACTTCCTGCATCTCTCGAAGGATCACCCCTCGCTCCCTCTCGATCTCCGCCTCTCCCAGCGTGCTGTTCTGGATGATGTCAGCCAGAATCTCCACAGCTTTGGCACAGAGAGATATTTTATTGTGCTTTAACACATTCCAGGTTTTTCGTTTGAGATGTTGTAACATTCAGCCCCTCTGCCCTCCCGTACCTCTCGGAAGATCCTTGGAGAAAGCTTTGGCGTAGTAAACAGTCTGCTCGCGGGATGTGTAGGCATTCAGGTGAGCCCCCATGTTCTCGATCTCCAACTCCAGATCAAGCTGAGAGCGTTTCCTGGTGCCCTGTCACACATTTATACAGACAGAGTGAACAAAGTCTTGAATGTTATTTTCCTTTATATAGAAACTCTGAAATATTACATTTATGTCATTATTTTGTCATTATACTGCTGTGAACTATTAGGATGCATTCTTCCCTCTCTGCATAGGCCAGATACATTCAAATAAAGACCACTGCCTTAAAAACTTTGCTGCGGAGCTGCCATCTCACCTTAAATGCCATGTGCTCCAGAAAGTGCGCTGTGCCGTTATTTCTCTCGTTCTCATAGCGACTCCCGGCATCTATCCACAAGCCCACCTGGAACAAAGCAGGAATTAATATCCGCTTCCACAAACTGCTGCTACTGTACCACAACCCCACATCTCAGCCTGTAGTGGCAAAGCTAGCAGATGCTAACATGTTTTGTAATGCCTATTACATTTGGCTGGCTGCTTCACAATGGTTATGGTATTTTAACAACATATTTACGTGCATGTATTAAAGCAGCCTGTTTTAAACTGTTTACTTCCAGCTTACTGTGCAGGTGGGGAGCCCCGAGTCCTCAGATGCCACCCGGAGTCCGTTCTCTAAAGCAGTCACCTTGGTTTCAGGAACATTTAGCGCCACCTGGTGAGCAGCTTGGGTAGCCAAGAGTCTGTGCGGTCCAGCAGTGAACTACGGGAGAAGGACAGCCAGTCATCATGACGCTTCAAAACTTGGAGCGTTACGTTTGCTGCTACCAGTCAGCGATACTGAATAAATCTGCCCCATTGGCGGTTCTGTTACACAGGGCACATCCAAACGTCACAGTAAGAGTTGATCACGTGATAGCTAAGCTAGCTTAAATAGCTGTTCGCAAACAAGCCGGCCATGCGCAGAGCTTTTCCTCTATGACACTGAGCACTGGCAGCTGTCACGGGCATATCGATTAAATGAGAAACTCCAAACATGACTATGAATCAATTCTTCTTACCCTGCTTATCGAATTCTTCTTCAGTAAATGTCTTTGTAAGAAAAATCTCCCAGCAGACGTGAGGCACTGTACGGACATTGCCATATTGTTTATCTGTAACAGTGCCGTTCTGCTGACGCAACATCCGCCGGAGATGATGACTTACTTTTTTCATAGTAGGTAAAAAATACCAAAAATACTATTCTTACACTCTCCTTAAATCAATAAAAGCTAGAGATAAACACACCTGAACAAATAGCTTTATATTTCAGACATCGATCAACCGATTATATGGAAATATGAAAATGGCTGCCACACGACTATGTGACCTATTGGTTTGCACGTTAGCTGTAAATAAAGTATTGAAGTAATATATTTACATTTAGGATACTTCTCAACCATATTTGACGTGATTCTGTAGCGTTTATAAAGAACGCTCTAACATTTAATCGCTTTTGTTTATTTTGAAAGGGTGTCAGAATTTGAAGGCGGAAGTGTCGGTTTAGCCTAGCGCGGATTTTTTTCTGTGAGTTTCAAGTTTGTCTGTCAGCCTCTTCCTAGCAGTTCAGTGTGTGACTGAAATAGTGGAACAAGGCTGAAGTCCAGCTGTATACAGAGCAGAAAGCCTGCTGCTGTAGCCTGCACTGGAGGTATTTCCTCTGTAACCCGGACTTAATTAATTCTCTGTTGGGTTCAACGGTGTCGTTAGCCGCTAACGGTGCAGCGTTAGCTGTTCACGCTAATTAGTGGCCTCAACTTTAGCCGATGTAATAAAACAGGAGTGTACGGCCTTTAGCTTCGGTGTGGCTTTCAGACAAGAAATGGCGGGAGGCGGAGATCTCATGGACGGTGATCTGGAAGATGGAGAGATCTCTGGGTCCAGCTCGGATACTGAGATGGGACCAGCCACAGCAGCACAAGAAGCTCGACCCCAGGTTCCCCCGGCTTTCTGCGGCCAGTCTTTCCAGAACAGAGCCTATGCTCAGACACTTCCAGCCGCAGCCTATCGCAGCACAGGTAGGACGGCAGAGTCTAGTGACAGTGACCCGGAGTCCTCTGACGAGGAGGCGGCTGTTTGGCGCCGGAAACGCCAGAAAGTGTCCAGTGCTCCACAGCCGCCTGCATGCAGCGCCCGGCTAGGGCCGACCCCTGTGCCCGCCCAGGGGACGACGGGTGGCCGCAAGGTGAATAACATTTGGGGCTCTGTAGTACAAGAGCAGTGCCAGGACGCTATCACTGCAGAACTTGGCATATTTGGCATGGATGGTGTTGGCATGTCCACCAGGAATGTGGAGACTTATAATTTCGTCCTAGCTCGGAAGATAATGGAGAAGGAGAGGGAGATGGAGGCGCAGTCGAAGGAAGGAGGAGAAGTGAGCATGCTGGATGCTGAGCTGGAGGAGTACATGAAGGGTAGGGGGTCAGAGGAGAACGCAGGAGGTGATGCAAAGAGAAAGAGACCTGCAAAGGAGCGACTGGGCCCCAGAGCAGAGATGGACATCAAGGGCCGCTATGAGATCACAGAAGGTGACCCCGATGATAAGGTGATAGAGGAGATTGCGTTCAGGTTGCAGGAGCCCAAAAAGGAGCTGATCACTCGAGTTGTCAAAGTAGTTGGCAAGAAAAAAGCCATAGAACTTCTCGGAGAGACCGCCACCCTGGAGGAGAGTGGTGGTGTGTACACCATGGACGGCAGCAGGCGCCGGACACCGGGTGGGGTGTATCTCAACCTGCTGAAGAACACCCCCAGTATCACCAAGGCCCAGATCAAGCAGATATTCTTTGAGGAACAGGTGAAGGAGTACAAGAGCAAGAAGGCTGCCCAGAAGAGGAGGCGGCATTTGGTGGCCAAAAAGATGAAGCAGGCCATCGGCACCCTAAACCTGCAGGAGCATGATGACGTCTCCAGAGAGACTTTTGCCAGTGATACCAACGAGGCTTTGGAGTCTCTGGAGGAAGCTGCAGAAGACGAGGAGGCTCAGGAGGAAGCTGCTGTGGGCACTGAGGAGACAGCAGTGGTCTACAACGCTGCAGACCTGGAGGTGTTTTGAAAATGGCCTGCTGTCTGAACAACGATGTTAATGAAACACTGAAAGCACTGAACATGTGATTGATTCAAAATCCACACTGGTGTCCTTTTTTGTTTTTTGTTTGAAACCTTAGCAATAACAGCAGCGCTTCTGTTAACAAATAGTTACAGCATGAACATGTTGATTGGAGCTTTTGCAGTTCAAATGTTGTTTTGCCTTTTAAAACCAGTCCTTCTCAACAAAATGATGTTGTGATAGTCATAACCATTTGTTGCTGTAAGTGTCATTATACAAACAGGTCTTGAGTTATTATTTTCATGGATGCACCTCGGTCTGGAAAATAATAAAAGTGGTGACTCAGGTAAAAGAATTAAACTTTTTTTTGTGCACTCACTTCCAAACACAAAATAACATAAATGTTATATAAGGTGAGTTTTAGTATCATCAGATCAGGATTCCTGTACTGACATTCATACCAAGTGGGGCTTCTCAAAGAAAACAAAGGCATTGAATGGCAGATGTAAAAGTGCTGAAGTGTCCACTAGGTGGCAGCCACGTTCCAACTTCTGCAAGAGTGGAGAGCCTTTTTAGTCCAAGGCTGTATCTAAAAAGAACCCTTAACCGTTCCGTACAGCATATATAAAAACGTTTAATATAAAAGAATAACTCAAGAATTAAACTGAAAAATGCAAAACTGCATGCTTATGAAGTGCTGCCTGCTATAGTAAAGGTTAAAGGTCACAGGTGTCCTGTTTAATTTGTATAACTCTGGTACAAATGTACACAGTCGGCCTGGCTCAGGCGTGTAAAACATCTGACCTGAGGGCGAGAATCAGGCACACGTTATGAAAATGTAAAGGAGAAATTCTGTTATTACAATGAAAAATAAATAAATATAGGTATATATTCATCCATTGAGCACCACAAATGGAAAACGTCCACCACGTTAGACCTTTCACATTTGTCATTCATTATGCAGGTGGTTAGGACAGAGTGTACTCGTAAATGACATCCTCATCTACAACTTAAACATCTCTGCACTGATGAAAATGTCAGTTATATGTATATATGTATATATATATGTATATATACATATATACATATATATATACACATATATATATGTATATATACATATATATATGTGTATATATATATATATGTGTATATATATATATACACATTTATATATATACATATATTTTCAATTTTTAAAAAAGTGGAAAAATTGGGGATTTCTAAAAGTTTTGAGTAGTGTAGCTTTTCAGTGAGAACTTCCTTTTTCATGACTGTAGCTGCTGAGTGAGGAGTCTTGCTTTCTTAACACTTGTGCTTAAATGTTAGTACTCATTCATTCAAAGTCCTGATCAATCTTAGTCTTTCCTGTTTATCTTTCCTGTTTTTTCAAAGCAATTCCCAGATTCTTTGGAGGATTTTCCAGCTAATTAAATTTTTGATTTGTCTGCAGACAGCACACGGGATTTTCATTGGAATGAAAAAATAGGTGGCTGAAAGCAAAAATGTGAAGAACCAAAACAATAAGACAAAAGAGTCTAAAAGGTTCCACAGTACTGTGTATGTGTGTACAGAATATATGCTTATTAAAGCAGGTGTTTCACCTACAGAAGGAGCAGTAAACTAGCGTGCAGTTCCAATATTTGCCTAACAAATCCGAGTTCTTGACATAAACATGCCTGAGGAAACAAATGGCCCCGCTAAAGCAGCTGCATCTAAGTCAAAGTAAAAGTATACAGTCTCCCCACACAGCTCTGGGCAAGAATGAAAGCCTTTAATGGTGGTGGTGGATTTGTCAGCTGAAGCTCTTGGAAATGATCATTATCTCTGCTTGTGGCTGCCACATGAAAGGCCCAGTGTGTTGGCAGAAACATGTTTGATAATCCCACCACTTATGGCTGTTTTCATATTTGCTGGCAGATATGTCTCCTCTGATAAGCTGTCACTGCGAACATCACGATTCCATGTGGCAATTAGGCAAGCAGATAAGGGTTCACAGACGGTGCAGAGATCAGTTTCCTGCCATTGACTTTTACTGCCACTTGTTCTGCTCGCAGGCAGGCCGGAGCATGTGAATGCATCGTTTGGTTTAATGGGTAAAGCTGATCAAAGCATGATTTTCAAAGAAATGTGTGAGCTGCAGTAGGTGACTGATGCTCTGCCTTACTCATATGGAATTGTTACATGCAGTCTCTGGTCTCAGGACCTGTATCTGTCACCTGGCAACAAACTTGTTGCCTGGATACAACACGCTGTTTCCACTGGATTAAACAGGACGGGGATTGAAAGACCTGTATCTCAGGACAGGCTGGGGTGGAAGTGCTGTGTGATGTCAGCAGCGTCACTCCAGCAAATGAAATGTTGAGTGCTGCATATGAGCATGTCTTTGAGATCCATCCACAATCACCCAGCTGTGCTGTGAATGAATGGCTCCCTGCCTGCTATGCAAAGACTTTCTTTAATCACTTGAGCAGAAGTAAAATGCAGTCTGTGTTTATCAGAGCTAATTTGGGACACGCTGATGGAGAGGCAAAAATGCCACCACCACAATTACACCATGGATCTGCCATCACTGTCCCATTCCTCTGTTGGACATCTTCAGTCTAACAGACAGGGGCTACAATTTTCACTGTCTTACTGTCACTCTTTAACATTTGCTCAGGGGTATATCAGGTGCCCGTTCAGTGGATTCGACCCTCGACCCCCGATCATGGGGCGACCACGCTACCTGCTGAGCTATCCAAACCTTTAATTAACGACAGTAAATTAGATAACGTGATCAGAGTGGCTCAACACTTTGGCTGAAGGTGAAGAGACATTGGATCACATCCCTACATGTGTATATCAGCTTTGGCTTCTCTCCAAATATGATTCTGTTTTCCTCTTTGATTACTGAGAAATATTCTGCACATGGTTTATTACTAGTTTATTTTCTATTCATAGCTCATGCGGGGGTTCACAGTGACTGGCAACAATGAAAACAGTAACAATCCTAAACTATACTGCCTCTTATACAGTGCTTTTGTGCACTACCTGAGCACGCACAGCACTTCATTCATTTACATTCATACAAGCACTTTTTTTCTATTCTCAAGTGCTTTCTAGCAACTTGCAACTTGGGGTTATATGTTGCCTGGAGCAGCTGACTGGAGCACCAACCTTCTGACGAGCAGATGAGCTGTTCTACACCTGCTACAGCCATACTAGAAGCTTAACCTGCCACGCACCTCCTTATTAAAAACCTCATCCAGTGCCACATCAGGGGCCCTGACGTGAAACCCAAACCTCGTCCATCCAAGACTTTGCTCAACCTACATGAAACCTGCCTCCCTCTAAATGTGAATTTTATTTTGAAAATCCAGTCTGTAATCTTAACTATGATCCATCTGCATGTCCATCTGTCTGTCTGCAGTTAAACTCCTACACAGAGCTGTATTTATAGGGAGGCGTGTTAGCATCAGAGAGTCCTGACTGGACAGGACAAATGGACAGCCACATCGTGGTAATGATATGACAGTACAGTCAAACTGAGCATGATCACAGTGGAAAAAAGAGGAACAGGCAGATAATACACGTAAAAACTGATAACTTCATCATCACATGAGAGAAAATAATAGTTTGTCACCAAAGTTACATTTCAGTGTTTTTATCTGAAGTGCTGTAAAATTAGTGATGCTGTATCAAACCAATGAAAGTATAAGTTTGAAAAGCATCATTTAGTTCAGTTCAGTTTTATTTAGATAGTGCCAAATTGCAGCAACAGTTTTCTCAAAGCATTTTATATTTTACAATAATACAGAAAACAACAACAATCCAATGATCCATCTGAGCAAGCTCTTGGAAACGGGGCCATATTTGTCAGCTCATAGCAACAAGGTTTCTGACTTTTCTGTGTGAAATTTCTTCCTGGTCTCCTTTGGGTTCTCTGATTTCCTCTCACAGTAACCTAACACGCACAGGTTACGTGGTGATCCCAAACTGGCCACGGATACCAGGCATACAAGCACTTCAGGCAGCGTATGAACGTCGATGTGGCCTGTAGTCTAAAGCATGTTCAGTCTGCCACACGTTTGACATCAACTTTACAAAATACATTCAAATTAATAGAAGAAGAAAACTGGAAACATTCCCTGATGCTGTTTGAGTAAATGACACGAACTGATCTGGATCCAGTCTCATCCATGTGGATCCGTTGACTCAGCTGATGGGTAGTGTGGAGTGAAGTCTTGGTCAGCCTGCAGCGTCAGACACTTAGCAGTCAGGTTTCAGTGGTCAGCTGACTGCAGACTCCATATACCATCACAGTTTAGCGGTTAGTTTAGCACAGAGAGACTATTGGACTCATCAGCTTGTGTTAATGCTGCGATAGCTTTAGAGTATACAACCAATCAAGTGCACACAGAAATATTCAATAGGATGTTTGCATCCTTTTATCTCTGCAAACATCTCTGTGAAAAAGCAGATGCTTCACGCTCCTTATTTCTCAATAATCTTTAGTTATTGTCACGAGCATTTTTAAGTGTATTTAAGGATTTTCGGGGGCTCATAAGTGAATTTGACGAGTTTTTTAGGTTGATTGAGCTCGCCACAGTGAGTGAGTGTCTGTTTTTGGATTAGCACTAACCAGCAAAAAACTAAAGAGGATCACTTTTCATATAATTGTAATAATAATGCTGCCTGCTTGAGCGAGTACAAAGCTGCTTTGTGTGGATATAACTCCAGTGTCACTGATGTCCTTTCATACAGCCATTGATCAGCTGTTACTGGCATCTTCTGATGCATTTCCTTTCAGTGATGTTCCTCAGGGGAGTGGGAGGCCTCTCTTAAGCAGCCAACTATATCAGTGCTATTTATGACTGTTTCATTACAAAGCTTCAAACATGTGTGACGTAACTGCGATCAAAGGCTTGACTTGAATACTCAGACATACAGTGGGTCAACACTTCTGACCTAAATTACAATTTCACAGGACAAACATATCTCTCTTGATTTGTGTAACAAAGGAAATCTGAGTTGGTGGTTTTGGGTGGGTGTGGCTCAGTTGGAAGAACACAGCCGAGGTCAGCAGTTTGATTACAGCTGCAGCTTCGTATTCAGATATGAGTGGAGGTTTATTAGTGGGCACTGAGTGTGAATGGGTCTGATGTGAGTGAAATTCCCACAGTTAACTAAAGATCAGTGGCTATTATGGAACTACACACAAGCAGTCCCGTGTGAGAGACCAGGCACATGGACTGTAGCACAGGACCGTCAGTGTTAAAAACATGATGTGACAGATTGCGCCAAGAACACCATTAACCTCCCAGTTCAGAGTAGAATGAGGATCATTTACATGCAAATACTGTGCCTATAAAT